TTTCTCCTTATGTTCTATGGAGGGATCCAATCCCTGTTGAGATTTTGGGCATGCACACATATGCACCCCAGTGTGATTTCTAGGCTATGGACGTCAGGATTTGAATCATGGTAGGCTATGTGAGATCCAGCTTCCTTAATTACTAGGTCATGGGATTGGAGTCAGGCACACATCTTTAAAAATAAAAGGAATCCCATTATATACCAATTTCGCAGCTTACTTTTTTTTTTTATAGAGATTTTTGCTATAGGAAGTGTGTGCTCACTAGAGAGACAGAGACAGAGATACAGAAAGTGAGAGATCACCCCCCCAGGGGGTGTGGCCATGCACAATACCTTCTCCTCCATTCTTCTCTTGGAATGTTGGGCACCGGCATGAATTTTAAGCCACCAAGTCTGGGACTCAAACCCTGGTAGACTACCTGGGAGTCCGGTGACGTAACCATTATACCATCTCCAGGTCCTGCAGTTTGCTTTACTTTCCAGACATTTCCTCATTTCATTTAATATTTTTCAGAGTCATGATTTTCATGAGCCTTATAGCATCTCACATGCAACTATACACAAATTATTTGACCATGACTCTATTATTAGAAATCAAGATTTTATTCAGGTTTTTATGGTCCTAAATGATGCTGCATAAAATATCTTTGTATACAAATTTTGTAGTTATCTTTAATGACTTTATTAAAATAAATTCCTAGAAATAGAAATACTGGGTCAAAGAAACACATTGAAGGATTCTGGTATACCGTGCAAGTCTTACCTTCCCAAGAGGTTGTACACAGTACCAACGGCGACCACGTGGGTCCATTGCTTTCCTGTTACCAATGCTCTGCTGTGTTGTTATGTGACTTTCGTCTGCTTTATTATCTTTCAACCTAGGTTGTAATCTCCAGCAGGCACTGTGGCCACTTGCTTTTTATACTTCACTTGGTGTCATTTACATGGCAGCCCTTGTTAATATTGGGTTGTGGGAAAAGTCATGACGTATTTTTCTACGCAAAATTAACGTCATGATTTTTCCGAGAACGTAATAGTTGCCACATGAATGAATGTCCGCTCACAGCCATCCCTCTGGGGTTAAAAGGTGAAAAAGGTACTTGAACAATCACTTTCAAGAAGATCAGCCCGAGAGGGAGGTTTATAGACTTGTTCTTAGTCTCCTGGTGAGAAGCGTTGGAGAAAAAGGCATGAACTCACCGGGAGTTGGCTGATGTTCAGGGGATTTGGGTCCAAGAAAGAAAATGAACTGTTTTCAGGGTCAGCTCTGCGGCGTGTCTGAAACGGATTTTCTGCAGTGCTATCCATTCTCCCTTTATAACTGGGTGTGGAGAGGGGTGGGGTCTGTTTTTACAACTCAGCCATGTAGCAGAATGAGTGGAATTTTCCAGATGGTTCCTCTTGCTGGCTACTGGCATAGCTGCAGCTTTGCTCTTTGGGAACTGTAAAGCCGTGGGCCCTGTAGCCTGGGTGGCTGTTTCTGCAGGTCCGATTGTGGTATTTGTGTGCTTTTGTTGGCACAAAGGTCCATGTAGGATTTCAAACCATAAATATTCATATTGTTTTCCTTGTACTGGCTCCCTACTAAATGCTTTGAGCAACAGGGCTAAAGTGAGAAAGGTGTCACATCCTTCTCCCCCCAACACATATACACAGTCATTCCTCAGTATGCTCAGGGACCCCCCAATCAGGGATGCATACATCCCTTATACAAAATGGTGTAGTATTTGCACATAACCTCTGCACACTATCTATTACAAGGGGACTTAAAAGGAAAAAAGGACATTAAAGTATGAGTTTATTTTGGTGCAAAGAAATTGTAAAATCCATGCATAGATTTTTTTTGTAATAAAATCCACAAACTTAAAAATTGTATGAAGTTATTTCTTTTGTGAGAATGAGAGAGAGACAATCTCTCTCAATAAGGTCTTATGCTGTGATTCTCCCCAGCATTCCCAGCCAGTCAGGCTCATGGGCGACCCGGGGATAGGGGTAAGGGGAGATGAACTCATGATCTTCCAGATGAATCCAGCATTGCTTTATGGTGTAATACTGCGGCACCAGCTAGTTGGACCCCATGAACTTTTTGAAGACCTCTTGTACTTTAAATTCTATGTAAATAGTTGTTTTACTTTATTGTGTTTGTTTTAATTGCCAAAGGACATGTGGCCTTATCAGAGAGACAGAGAAACAGAGAGAGAGAGAGAGAGACCCCCCATGGGTTATGGTTATGCCTAAACCCCTTCTCTTTCAATTCTTAATCCTCTTGGGATTTTAGGCACACACATGCATGTGTCAAGTGGAATTTCCAAGCCACTGGGGTCAGGATTCCACCCGTGGTCAGCCATGTGGGATCTGCTTCCTCGATCACTAAGCTACAGGACCAGCCCGTTGGGCATCTCCCTGAATGCCTGAGAGTCTGGGAACCTTCTGGGAGGGCTCCAGAGTTTATCCAAATCTACATCTTCTCTGCGAAGATGAATTAGTCTTCCTTTCCTCTACTTGTAATGGTCTTCTACTCCTGGGATAGTTCTCTTTTTGTTTTCTGTTAATAAAGAGGCTGTAGGTGAAAGTTTGCCATGAATCTGGGGACATCTGAGCTCATAATATTTCCATGTTACAATTTTACCTGCCCAGCCAGGTGTTGTGCAGATTAGTAGGCAATTCTAAAAGGGCAGGTAAAATTGCCTCAGGAGGCAGATAAACCAAAGAGGCAAATCTGGAGTGATGCACATTCTCATGTATAAGAGATGGTTTGCCTTACTGTGATGGGTTCTTTATTCTCTGCAGCTATCAGCGAAGTTATTATTCCTCAGCCATAGTTTCTTTAACCTACAGGTTGGATGACTTTTCTTAGAATTAAGAATCATGACCTAGCCATGGTAGGGTGTGCTGGGGATGCTGCTCAGCAGGATAAGTCCCACATGGGAGGCCTGGGTTCAAATCCTGGCTCATCCTAAAGGGCCAGATGCATGCTGGTAGTCTCAGCTCTTCCAGAGGCTTGGCAGGAGATCAACACAGTGAGACCACGTCTGAAATAAATACCACCACACATGTGCGCACGCACACGTAGAAATTAGGGATTTTCACTGTGGCAGATGGAGTGGACCAGCAAGCTAACTCCTGGTGTGCAGAGGATGGAAAATGCAAAACTATTTCCTAGACTCTCTTAGAGTTGGGATTTTGATGTGATCAAGGTTCTTCCAATCAGGTGCACCTTCTTGAGATTTGGAAGTGGGAACCAAGTCACATGTGGGAAGAGGCAGGGCAGTGTATGTGGGTTTGCTCACGTGAACTGTGCCACAAGTTGTGTGGTCCTGGAGCTGCCAGTGGAAGCCATGGCTTCTCAGTTCAGCCGGCAGCCTCTTTAGCCACGAGC